AGATTTTATTAGTCGTTCCTCAGACTAATGACAAAATTCAAACAAAAGCATTCCACTTTTGTGGTCTCTTCTCAGAGTCATTGAATATAAGTGGATGAAAGTTGCTAATACATGTAATTTATATAACAAAGGTTGCATCCGGAATATTTTTTTGTTTATGGCTTTGAGACAAATTACTGCATAAGTACTTATCTTTGTGTTATTTTGAGTTTATGCGTAGGATTTGTCCCATATACTTTTGTTGTATTTCCTGTCATAATTTGTAGGATGGTTCTTGCAATGGTTCACAACAGTATGCTACCCTTGGAATAGATAAGGCAATAAAAGCATGAACTACGGTGTTTACCTTAGTCATACATTCTATATTTCTTGACGGATAATTGAATTGTTAACATGGTTTGTTACAATAAATTTGCGTATTGAATTAATAACAAAGCCTTCCCGACCTCCCTATTTTGCGTGAGTCGTGTGAAGATCATTAAAAGATGTCCTTGCTCAAAGCTATGCCATTTATGTAAAAGTAGCCTTCTCTACTTGCATATTCCTTACTATTTAATTTCAAATTTTTATTCTTTGTTGTTCTTCACACATCACTTTGGTGAGCACCGACAGTTATTTTATAAATGTACAGGTATATTTTGGTGAAGAACTACTAAGAAGAAAACTAAGTAGAAGATTAAACACAACAGAAAAAATGCATCACCATTTGCCAATGTGTAAGTAGTATAAAATGTAAATAATTCTCCCATATATGATATAAAAAATATGACACACATGCATCTAATAGTATGATGCTGTTGTGTAGGTAAATAAATATATTATTTGCAAACCAGACAACATTCAAGAGTGGATATTTGGTTCCAAATAAAAATACCTTGCAATTAGCATATGATGTTGTGTAGCTGATTCAATCCTAACAGTTTCAACTGTCACAACATTGGACTTGTGCATTTTAGCAGCTGCGACTGTGAGAATGCAATATTTTTAGGTTTATAGTGTTTGTTCAACTCCTGTAGAACATTCCTGTCAAGTTTGTAGTGTTTGTTCAACTCCTGTTGAATTATATAACTATACGCTGCACCAATATTAGTCCATAATATTACGATCACCAATCTTTATTAGAAAGAAATACAACAACATTAGTTAAGTATCCCTAAAGGCTAAAATAAAATAAGAAAAAGAATTAACATAATTATTTCGAGGTTTAAAGTATTATACAACAACACAGTGTGCTCCCACATGTGTGGTCTAGGGAGGATAGTGTGTATGCAGCCTTACCTCTACCTCATGAAGCTAGAGAGAACATTTCCGATATACCTTGGCTCAGGAAAAGCATATATTATCGGTTAGTAATTTTTCCATTATTTGCAGGGTCTTGAATGCTCAAGTGACTGGCTTTCTCATTGGAGTGAAAGACTACAAGATCTTTGACCAAGAGACTAAATCTGTTGAAGGGACCTTGAGACTTGCATATTGGATCATGTCAAATTCGTGTGTAGAGCAGTGTCAACAAAAAGACCTCAAGCAAGAAATGTTGACATCTAGCCACTTATCCTACTCTGTCTGTGAACTTGTGCATAACTAATATAGTTGTTAGTTGTCACCCATGGATTATAAAATAACATCAGTTTGATACGGCATAAATAGATTAGGATCCAGTAGGGCTGGAACACTAGGTATTTCCTAGTGCTCAAGATTTTGAGTCTTTTGGCTATGGTTATTAGGCCAAGCGAGTTGCTTTTCTTCCATATCTCTGGTTAGTTTTTTCCTATTAACCAATTTCAACTCAAACTAGGACCTCCTTTCAATGTTGGACAAGACACATTATTTTGTTTCATACTTACTTACTATAAATCCAGGCAGACAGCTCAAGGAGAAAACTCAGAAAAGGGATTTAGTGCATAAAAACGATTCCAAACCTATAATTTGAAAGCAAACGATAACATAATTGTAATTACATAAGATGGAAAGGAAAAACAATAACAATAAGTAATATAGTATACACAATGAAGGGGTCTAAATCAATATAGAGTTGGTGTGACCCAAGTTGGAGGACAAACAGGACTTAAGGAGACACCCTGGTAGTGTGGGAGAGGGATGATGGTGCCATCAACTAAGCTGAAAACACCCATGTCCAAGCCGCCTCCTTCTTCAAAGGCGAGGTATGATTCCCAATAATCATCGGTAAAATAAATGTGATTTGGCTTGATTCCAGGAAATTGTGAAGCTTGGACAGAACGAGAGGCATTATGTCCAATAAAAAGAGCTCTGTCCCCTAATTCCTTGGTTTGCTTCAGTTTGCAAGTAACTAAATCCAACTCAAAAACTCGAAAATTTGTTGTCCCATAAGTTAACTCCTCATCCTCCTTCTCCTCATCATCATCATACTCTTCGTCATAAATTATCGCTTGATCATCATCTTGAATGCGCGTCAGTGGAATCCTCTCACTATCATCTGTAACGTATCTTAACATACCACCATAGCGCACAACTATAAACAGTGATCCTAGTGATTCTACAATGTATAACTCGTCTCTAATGTCTTCGTACGGTAGCGATGCAACTATTTGTGTCTGAATTGGGTCAGGAATAGTAACATCACAAACTAGAATGCGACCCCACCCATCAACAGCATAAAATTTGCCGTTAAAATAAATCACATCACGATGTGGAACGTGAAGGGGTTGTTTTTCAATCCTGGTCCATCTCAAGTCTCCTGGCCTCCAGAAACTGAGGAACTTCATATTTCCCTCAATAACCATGAGAACGTAGTCTGATGTTTGAGAAGGACTGGCTGACAAAACTGCCTTGTGAAAATAGGTCCATAGATCCCTAAGCTGGTGGAGGGTATCATAATCTTCAGTAGTATTTTGATGGGGCAATTCAATCTGAACACCGGAGAAGGGATGTAGCAGATTGATTTCACCCTCGTCTTTTCCTACCGTAATAAGCCATCCCATGGACTCCATACACCGCTTTTCTTTGGCTTTGGGTATCCTCTTCTTCAGAATCATGCCATTATAAAGGCTAAAGAACTGTCGACATGAATTGCATTCGCTATCTTCTTCCTCGGCTAACATCAGCCATGGAACTCTAGGCATATCACTGTTAAAATTGTTCTTGGTGGCCGCAAGTCGCCAGGATTTGCAGACAGAGGCGAAATTTAAGTAGTCTTCGATCATATTTATACGTTTGCCGATGAGAACCAACATATCATACTGAAGTTCCGACCAATCAGCCATCTTTTGTACTTTGGAAACGTGGAACTGGAAAATAAAGAATACTCACCTCACCCAACCTTAAATATATTCGGTAGAAACAAATCCCACTTACGGGCGGATTCGGATTTCGGAGACAAAATGTCAAAATCCAACTAACCCTCTTATGGGGGGATTTGGATTTCTGAGGACAAAATCAAAATCCAATTTTGCCCACAACAGGACACCCGTTCTTACCTCTCCTTCCAGAAATATATACTTGTCAAATAAAACATTTTTTTACTACTATAATACACTTTTTATATAATAATATCAATATTATTATTAAAATAAAACTTTAAGTATATAATTGTACATGAAACATAAAGTATAGTGCATATAAATTAATATAGCACCTAGAAAGCAGTCCAAGCCACACTTATCATTTACTTAATTAGGAGGAATGTTTAATTTGCAATCTTTCTCATGATATAGTTTCTTATTGAAAGCTAACACAATGCAAGTCATCTCGCTGAAATGCCCAACACCATATTCTTTTTATCAAATGGCAGGTGATATGTCAGTTAATAATTTTACATTTTATGATACAAAGCGCGAAAATCTATATCTATACTATATTAAAAGCACGAAGGCCCTTAGCGAAATGTCGTTCGTCTTTTTTACCCTTTAAAAGTAGATTTCACATTGGTCAAATTTGTAATTTAATTATATTTCTAATATTTAGGACTTTTTAATCAATTAGTTATTAAAACATTCCTTACTTGACAAAAAGACATAATGTTAAGGACTTTAAATTTAATATACTTGTCCTATAAGGCTAATTTATATGTCAAAGTTTTTATTCGTTCAGCAATAGGAATAGCAAATTAAATTGTAAACATATATTATTCCTAATTATGTATTTAAAGCAGTATGATATTGTCACTTTAAAACATACCTTACCCTTTAAATCATAGAAGCAGGATTTAAGTAAATTAAAAGGGTAGAAGTAAAAATATAATAGGGTTAAGAAAGTAGAATCCTGTTATATTGCCAACTTAATACTCATCAGATACTGCAATCTTTAATTGTCATGAACCAAGTTAACAATAATTTTTGAAGCCATATAACTGCCACTACAAACATACTGGTGCGCTGGTTAAAAAATTTGAGAACCAAACAACGTAACTTCATCCACTTTGCTTCTGCTTTGAAAAATTCTCATAGCATTGTGCATTCAAAATTAATTTCTTGACTTTCTGCCTCTTCAAACTAAGGGCTGCTTGTATCATCCGTGATTATCCTTTATTTTTTTCCGCAAAATTCTTTTGTCATAGTCAAAATATATAAATCACCAGAAAGAAGGATGATCATCATCAGTCACATCCTTTGGCCAATTTACTGGGAAATCCTCCAAAGTTTAGCCATTGCTTGAAACAGATTGTAGCAAGATTCACACTAACACCACCATCTGATGAAATTCAGTTTCTATCACTTTAGCCTTTCAAAATGACAAAGCCATTGAATTGAAGTCAATAGTGTGACGTTTCACTTCCTGTTTTTTTTTTTTTTTTTTAGGGGGGGGGGGGGGGGAAGGTTTGCAAATTTTGAAGCAACATATAATTCCATTATCCTACTTTAATCGAGACTTGTTAGTAGCGTTACATTCAAAGGACACAACCTTCTTGAAAAGACACTTCAAATTAATATTTTATTTTTGTTTAAATATAATTATTAAATATATATTTCAAGAAAGACTTATTGCTTCGACTTTGGCCATGCATGCTTATGTTTTATTTGAACTCTGTACATCGCCTTACTTTAAGTTGATCCTAATACAATATCTATTTCTTGTGTTCAAGTTTGGGGTTATTACTATTGTGTATTCTCTTTTCTGTTTAAATTATTCACTTGTCTAGCAATCCTTTTGAAGGAATTGAATTGAGCGTAAAGGATAAAATAGTCTTCAAATTTTAATGGGTATTTTAGTAATTTAACTTTTGACTTAAGGGCTTCCCACTTTTAATATAACTAGTATCTATGAACGTGCGTTGCACGTTAATAATGGCACATGATGATTTAAATATTTATTTATATGAAGGAACAATACAATTTAATTAATGAAAGAGTTTTATATATAATAATACAATAATCATCTAAATACCGAACAATATTATTACATTAGCATAATACATGAAATTAAAATAAAAGGATGTGACGACCCAAAGGGTCATCACCTGTTTTCTCTCTTTTTCGCGCTTCTGAGGCCTTGAAAACCTCACTTTTAGTCGCCTCGATTTGCGTGCGCAGTCCGGGCGCGTAGCCGGAAAGTTTAAATATGAATTCTGTGTAAAAATTGATGAATTTTGATATTAATATGATTAAAGTTGACTTTGGTCAATATTTTGGGTAAACGGACCCGGACCCGGACCCGTGATTTGACGGTCCCGGAGGGTCCGTAGAAATATATGGGACTCGGGCGTATGCCCAGAATCGAAATCCGAGGTCCCGAGCCCGAGAAATAAATGTTTAAAAGAAATTGTTTTTCTGAAATTTTTAAAGAAATTTGAAGTGAAAATGAATTATAACGTGTTAGTATCGGGCCCGTATTTTGGTTCCGGCGCCCGGTACAGGTCTTATATGTGGTATTACTGCCACTAAATTAGACATTGATGAACCTGGTTCATCAGTTGATCAAAAGTTGTACAGGGGTATGATTGGTTCACTCTTGTATCTTACTGCCAGTAGACCTGACATTGTTTTCAGTGTAGGGCTTTGTGCTCGTTTTTAGGCCAATCCAAAAGAGTCTCACTTGACTGCTGTCAAGAGGATACTAAGATATTTGAAAGGCACCACTGATGTGTGTCTTTGGTACCCCAAAGGTAGTAATTTCAATCTAGTAGGATATGTTGATGCTGATTATGCAGGTTTCCTAGTGGATAAGAAGAGCACCTCAGGTATGGCACACTTCCTTGGTTCATTTCTTGTGTCATGGGCTACTAAAAAGCAAAATTCAGTGGCCTTATCTACTGCTGAAGCTGAGTATGTTGCTGCTGCTTCTTGTTGTGCTCAATTGCTATGGATCAAACAGCATCTGGTAGATTTTGGCATTGAAGTTGGTTGCATTCCTATATTCTGTGATAACACTAGTGCTATAAGTATGACAAAGAACCCTGTTCATCATAAGAGGACTAAGCACATAGATGTTAGGCACCACTTCTTAAGAGATAACTATGAGAAAGGATTGATCTCTATAGAATTCTGTGCTACTGATAAACAAATTGCTGACATCTTCACTAGTGCACTGAGTAGAGAAAACTTTAAGAGGAACATGTTAGAATTAGGGATGATTAAGATCACCTAATAGGTCCAGTTCAGAATGCACAATGAAAAAAAAAAATTTGGCTAGGAATTCTGAACTTGTGTAAGTATCTAGATTAATTCTTACTCAGCTTCATACTTTAATTGGTGTACTCCTGTGACATGTGTTTATATGACTCACTGATCTCTTACAAAATTTTCTCCATTATGGCATTTGAGGCATGTTCAAGAGAGCTCTAAATGAAGAACCTGGTTCATCAG